GTTGAGACTTCGTGTTTGCGACCCGAGTCAATTGTTTACTCACCATGACTAGGCATCGCATCGGGCATCGTATGACCATTTTATATGTCACTGTTCTTAGTCGCACCGGGGGCGTATGCCCGTTTTCAGGAGACTTATCAAAACACATAAGCCCTGTGCCCTGAAGGTTAGGCCTATTGTTAGTCTGAATAGTCCTGGCTACTATCCCACTAAGTTCATTGACTTTCTACTGAACCTGTATGTACGTGAGGAAAGTACTGTTCTGGCCTGAACTACGGATTTCATCAACTTGGTAGAAGGTTTGCCTGTGCGGGACGATCATTTATTTTTAGTATAGATGTGACCAGCCTTTACACCAGCATCCCCAACGAGCTCGGTCACGTGGCATTGTCGTGGTGTATCACACACAGGTATACAAGGTGGATGCCCCCGGCCCTTCGTACACGGTTAACAACAGCAGTGACTTCCTTGATGTCAGTCATTCGGAAGACTAACGGGTTCGTGTAAGATAACGATTTGTTTCCGCAGATCCAAGGGACTGCCATGGGTTCGCCTGCAGCAGTGGTCTATGCCGACATTGTTATGCTGTATTTGGAGAATCGGTACATTTTGCCGATCTTAGAGGGGGAGGGTTTAGAGGTTCAGGTTTATAGACGCTTTATCAGTGACATTTTTGTTTCATTGCATGGTTGCGAAGGTCAAGTTCAGCGCGCTTTAGACAGGATTAATAAGTGTTCGGCCCTCGAGTTTGCGCATGAACTGGCACATGATGGCATTGATTTCCTGGACACCACAGTTTTCCGTAGTAAGGGATACATGGCGGTGAAGCCTCATTTCAAGTTCACCAATCGTTTCCTGTATCTGCTTGCCGGTAGTAACCACCCCCGTAGTATGGGTAAAGGTGTGATCACTGGGGAGTTGATCCGTATCCGTCGGTCTTCGACCCTTGACCACCACTACGAAGCTGCTGCCGAGCAGGCGAAGCAGACTTTCCGGGCCCGTGTATACAAGAGCTCCATCTTTCATCTTTCAGACCGTACACCAGGCATGCAAGGCCGGCACAGCTGGGGTGGCTGGGGCGGCCTCAGCCGCCCCACTTTTTTGGCCGTTTTTTTGTTCTTGTTTTTTTAGCACACTGCAACAAAGCGCGATGATCGCAGCTCAGCTCAAACGTGGCAAATAATGAAGAATCCTTGTGTATCAAGGTCAAGGTGTGTGTGTGTGTGTGTGTGTGTGTGTGTGTGTGTGTGCCTGTGTGTGTGTGTGTGTGCCTGTGTGTGTACGTGCCTGTGACGTGTACAGCCGGTGTGTGCACACCGCTAGCTAAACCGACCAACGGCTACTCCCAGGGCACAAACTATTCTGCTGGAGGCAGCGTCGTCTTCGGCTGAAATTCCGGATACAACCTGCAGGGAAGCATTGTGCGCATCTGCCAGATTGACGGTTCCTGGAGTGGGGCAGCTGCCTCATGTAATCGTAAGTTGAATTTCAAGAGAGCCGATATATCCCTCTTGTGTAGAGAAGCTTCAGGCTTGTAGGTAGGCAGATTCTGGTGGCGTTGATCTTTCCTATTTACAGAGCATGTAATAGTCTGGGTGTTACCTGCCACTTTTCATCATCACAAATGATGATCGTGCTTATCACAGGACCCAGGACCAGTCGGGCATCTCAGCCTGAGTCCTTAGGATATATGTTATACTTGTAGGTGTATGGTTAGGGTGTTTCACCGGGTAGAGGCGACGGTTTCAAATAGGACACAGGTTGCAAACCGGAACGGACTCAATATTCACTTTCTCTCTTGGTATTTTGATTAGAAAACATATGTCACAGTGAGACTACGATGTGTTATACTCCGAGCCAAAATTTCATGGCTCTGCGATGACCAGACGCGCCATACCAAGCAGGTGAGTTTTTGACGTGTTGCTTCGCACTGCGACTTGAGTTTTACGACTTTCGAAAAATCAACTTCTTGTCGCAGGTAAACAGCGGCTCGCCTCTTGCCAATAAAGCACCGCATACCAATCAAAACTAATGGAAGCACACACAAGGCTTATTGTTACTCTGTACTGGCTGTCGTGGAGCGATAGCAATTAGCTAATTTCAGACCCAAAGTGAATTTGACGTGCACTCTAAAACGTGTCCGGTTTGGAGCCACCTCTGATTTGAACTTTTTTGAAGCGAAAAATTGGGCAACTTGGAGGCAATGGGTCAACACAAAGGAGTGGCTCAGTTCGATTGACTCTGGCCCCAGAGCAAACTTCAACATGCCAGTTTCCTTCCACAAACATATTTCGAGTGAAAAATCAACGCTGATGATCGGTTTGGGTCTATACAAATTTGGCTGTCAAGGCGTTCCGGTATCGAACCGTCTACTCTACCAGAACACTGAGTTGTTGGCATAAGCCGGTAACTTTTGTCGAGCCTGTTTTAGGCTACCACCTCCTCCAAATATGCTAATATCTCTTGACTGTACAAAAGATGTGCCGAGCAGACACTTTCTTCATCTCTTGACTGCTTTGTGTGTTGTGTGTATGGGTACGTGTATCCAGCCATTCAACTGCAGTGCCAGTCTGGCTACCTGCCCTGCCTGCGTTCCAGCCTGTGGCTGTATCCTGCCATCACAGCGCTGCGACGGTGTTTGGTACGACTGTGCTGATGGCTCTGATGCACAGTACTGCCCAGGCAAGGTCACACCAGCTCCAGGTAAGCACCAGCAGCAGCACTGATAGTAGTACCATGACTTCTATTATTATTACAGGGTGCGACAGAGCTCTCGGCCATTGAAGAAAATGTTGAGTCACCTCCACCACCACACTGCGCTCTTTAGCCGACTAGACCCTCCTGCACACAACCATCATCATTGCGAGGACACTTCCGTAGACGATATTGATAAACTCCTTCAGACAGCTGTTTCGCTAATACATAGCTCATCAGTGAAGGTAGATATTGAATGATTAAAAATATAGACCAAACTGCTATTATATAGGGGGTTTCCACATACAAAACTGGCATAGCTGAGGTGATAACGCGGGAAAAGGAAAGTGTGAAGTACTGTTGACGCGCATTGGACATGCATGCAGCGTCGGATATTCGGCGCGGAAAATCAATCACTATTCAATGCAGAAATAACGTGCCAGAATCAGAGTACTATGTAGCTAGTAGTGAGAGTCTGTGTACTAGTATTGCAGTTGTCCGAGCGCCATGAAGGCCTGCGAACGCACCTCAAGACCCGCCGACGTCGACAGCCACAGCAGCCCCTGGGGCATGACACTGTACTGCTCGCCCGTCGCGCCAAGACGCTTGGCAGTCACTAGGCTTCATGCCACCGATGTTGTCCGCAAGCTACCTTGTTATCTGCCCATCACCCACTGCCGTTGACACGCTGGGAGGCCCCGCGGCATTCGCCCAGTATATCGTCGTCAGAGCTGTGTCGACGGTACAATAACGCTGGTAGAAACAAACAGTTGGTCGTATGATATTGCGTCCTCCGGATTGTCCCTTGACTCGTCTTGTCCCTCTTCTTGCTCTGACGCTAATGACTTCTATTACAAGCAAAATGTAGAGCTACTGTTGACCGCTATTCACTGCTGTATTTATTTTATTACTTTGCATGGCCATGTTGAGGCAGTCTTCGCATCAATTTCCTTTACACAATGCGTGTACTACAATGTATTCAAAACCAATGTCTGTGCCACGCACACATACGCAAACGTTTTAGGGATGAAACGAGTATATCGAATACTCGAGCGCTTGCTCGAAAATTCGAAAGGAGTGAGGACTCGTTTCGCAAAATACTCAAGTATCTTATGCACAGTGTACTGTATGCTTGTACATCAAGCACGTCTGTTACTCAGACCAGTACTGATAACCCATGCAAGTGTGAAATTATTACTTGTCCCTACTTACCAACAAAAGACGTAGTTCAGACTATTTCCTGCACTAGGCTGCATGCAAGACTACATGTGTCAGGTGTAATACGTTCAGTGTTACGAGAGTGTGTGCAGTACATTGTTTTATGTTGTCAGTAAAATACTCGTACTCGCTCGAATACTCGCTCGTTTTTTCAAAGAGTACTCGAGTCCTCAATTTTGGCACTCGTTTCACCCCTAGGCCAAACATGCATGCACTGAATGCCTGTGCTCTGTGCTCTGTGCACTCTGTGCTTGTGCAGGTCAAACCGACTGCCAGGTCCTGTCACCACCGGCACTGGGCTCAATGACCGTGAACGGCTTGATGTTCAGCAACACGACCACGTTTGTGTGCAGTCTCCCTATGTCCTTATGGGCTCGGTCGTGTGTACTTGTGAAATCAACGGCCAGTGGAGCGGTGTGCAGCCAACTTGCGTCCGTAAGTACATGTACCAATGCTCGACTGGCTTGTATTATGCATTCCCGTTCATCACACCGCTCATACTGTCAAATGCTGCCTCTTTTCATTCACAATGGCATGGGTCACAGTAGATAGGCCTGGTGCAGGTATTGCCAGTTCCTTGCTTGCTGCAGTACAGTATGACATATTAACTTAGCTGGTAAGCAGTGCATGTGTGCATGGCAAGTGTTAATTTTGTCCATTGCTTCCCAACCCATGTGTAGTGACGACTGCTGCTCTGAGTGCGGCCAGTGACGAGCTAGTCAAGGACTCCGTCTCAGAACGCATGACACAAACGTGTAAGCCTAGTATTGCTGCATAATTAAGAGCAATTTCTCCTACTGCTGACTGCTGAAAATGTTGTGTCCTTCACAACTAGTCTCTTTGTTCTAAGAAGTCTGCCTCTTTCATCGATTCGTGTTTACCTAGCTGCGTTACGCTATTAGTAGCCTACTACCTGTTGTGCAATGGGGCTGGCCTAAAAGCTGCTCGCTCAACAGTTGTGTTGCATGGCATAGAGGGAGATACGGCAAGCCACCTCGGCATATTTGCGGATAGAGCTTTTATTAGAAAGGAAAAGGACATATGGATACGAGTTAGGAGTAACTGTCCACCACTGTAACTAGCTACTACAGTAAAAAAATGCAACAACTAGGCACAAAACTGACAGAGTGCTGAGACATTCGACGACCTGACTCCTAGCTTCAACACATCTCCGTAGCGCTAACCAACAGCCTTCCAACTTGGAAGGTTCAAGGTTAAAAGGAGAGACCAAAGAGGGGAAGGTAAGCGCAACGAAAATGAGCACAAGCTAGTAGTTGAAGCTACAGTCCCACAAGAACAAGAAATGTTGATTGTTACTGGACGATGACGAAACCAGTATTACCTTTCCCTCTTTGGTCTAACACTACGGAGATGTGTTGAAGCCAGGAGTCGGGTCGTCAAATGTTTTAGTGCCTGGTTGTTGCACTTTCTGACTGTATTTAGTATATAGTGACAGTTACTCTACACTCATATCCATACGTCCTTTTCCTTTCTACATTAATTTTATTATTGCCATATTGGCTCAATATCCGAGTTTCAAAGAGCTTTTAGTGGACGACTTAATCCATTTTCGGCAATACTTACAACGATCCAATCAGTCATATTGTAGATCAGGCTATGCTGTGGGTAAGTATACTACTGGCCTTGTATGGCTTATTGTTTGCCAGCGAGTATTTAGCATCATCTACTAGTATTCACTCTTTTGACAGCCAAAGAGTATTTGTGTGGGAGGCTGGGAGTCTCGCACCTGACTTGGTCACGTTGCGCCTGAAGGTCACTAAGACGCGGCCATATACGGTGGAGCCGTCGCAGTTCCATCTACTGTCGACCAAACATGCCCGGTATTGGCTATTCCGGTACATGACAGCCCATGCCTGTAGCACCAAGCCTGTGTTCACTTTTGCCAAAGGGATCCACCTTACTCGGCCTTATTTAAATAAGATACTCTGTCACGCTCTCAACTGTTATCAGGTTAGCTCCTGCTCCATGCCCATTGTTGGAGCGACAGTCCTGGAATCCAGAGTTGCAAGTGAGGTGGTGATACGGCAAGCAGACGGTGGCAAAAGTACGGCTTAAAAGCTCTACATCTGGCAAGTGGCCGGCATACCACCCCAATGGACATCGGAACAGTACACGTAGAGTAGCATCTCTACGTGACAGGGTATGAGCGCAAGTGAGTTCTTATGCTCTACTAATGTGCATTGATACTGTGACTATAGTTGCAGGGAATTTTCTAGAACCGCCCCAACCGGTTTTCGACCGGTTGAAATAGTTGGCGACCGGTTGAAAAGTTACAAATCAGTTCCAACCGCCCGTACTTTTCTGTGGGTGAATGGAGCTGTGAATGGTCATACGCTTTTTTCTGGATGGATACTTCCAGCGAAGCCGCGTGGGCTGGTACTAGGGTCACGAGTTTGTACGGTTTGTACGGTCGAACCACGTCATCGAGCTGTAGCAACGGCGTTGCTACAGTCCAACAGCTCCGCGCGACACTCCAGCACCAAGAAATCTGTTAAATTGCTGTCGAGTGCCATATTTGGGTTGTATTTTGAAAACTATTTCCGGAGGGGGACCCCCCGACTCTTCATTGTACCGTAACCGGTTGGAAATTCGTCCTAGAATATACCCTGAGTTGGTGTACAGATCTCATCACATGAGCCTTAGGCGGGATTTCCTATTGTCACTGGAAAATTCAGCCCTAACAAACAGTGTGATGGATGAATTTGACTCCAGGTATCTGCTTTTGGGAATGCCATGTATGCATGTCTGGCGTGCTGCTGCTATAATGTTGTGGCAGCAGCATTTTGGTGCGATGGACTGTTCTTGTAACGGTGTACCTACCCATTTGCTGTTGCCGGATGCCGTGTTTTGTCAGTTGTGCCTGTTTGAAGGTGCCAGGCCAGCTTGTGTTGGTGCGTTCCCGTTAAGTTGCCAGGGCACCATATTTGTAACGGCGTTCCCGTTTTGCTGTTGTGGGGCTGTGTTTGTATCGGTGTGTTCCCGTTGAAGTTGACGGGGCACCACGTTAGTGGATTGTGCCTGTTTGAAGTTGCCAGGCCAATCCTGTAACGCACACCCGTTTGCTGATAATTGGGGACATGTTTGTCCATTTTGCTCGAGATTCACATGGCTGCGCCAGTTGCCTTGTGCGGATTAGACTGTTATCTGGCACTAGTCTTGATCTGTTTTATTCAGATTCAGATCAGCTATTGTTCCTATACGAGAAAATCTGTGGGTGCACATCCAATTCATTTGCAGATTTGCGTGCTTCTCCTGCAACGGGCGTTTACATGGTACATGGTGTGTGGGCGTATGTGTGGTGTGTTCATGCTGCACAGGCCAGTATTGCCAAGCACTGGGGACCTTTGGCAATCTGAAGAATGTTTTGTCCGAGAATCGATCCTTGGATCTGTGGCGTTGCAGTTGTGGTGCTCCCGACCCTCTTGCGCGATGGCCGCGGAGACCTAGCGAAAAGGTTCGAGACATACGGCATCTCAATATCTTCCACCACAATCAGTACATCAGCACCACCATCGAGTGTAGCGACATCAGCAATAGAAGACGCACATGATATCATCCACCCTTACGGCCTTAGCGAAGACCCGGGAATACCTGAGAAGATGTTAGCCGCAACTTTACTGGAAAAGTCGTCGGTGACAACGGCACTCCATATTTTAGCTGCATGCAGTTAGGTCTCTCAACAAGTGTACCGAAAGTTTTCAAGCTAATACACAAGCAAATTCACTAGGGGCCGAGTATATTTTCCTACACCTCTCCCTGTTTGTTGTTGTTATTTCTGCATTCAAATTGTTTGTGTACCTGTACATTTATTACAGTAGAGCCACGCATCCACAGCTGTTGTTTCCAAGGGGTCAGGCTCGTCAGTTATACAAAACCTTTCAGCAATCTGGCCTTAGGCTTAGTTCCTTGACTTTTTGTACCACTTTCTTAGATGCACATCCCACTGGATAGTGAGCAATACGTGTGTACCAGAATCTGTATTCCAGAAAAGCAGAGACTCGAGTCTATTGACACTGCGTTTCTTTTTAAAACGTTATTGGCTGTGGTGTACCTAGAGGTATACACGTACATTCCTGGGTCCCACGTTCTGTGACGCCCGACTGTATTCGTGGTGCCTCAACAACTTTTAATTTTGTGCGCTCGGGAAAACCTGCCGGAGACTGTGAGGCTGCAGAGTGTTGGCTGTGTTTTGCATCATCAGGTCTCCCCAGATTTTCTAGTCTGGCCCTGAATTTTGCCACTCTTCGGTTTCAAAACCTAGTGTGGTGGTGGAAAGCCTAGCAGTGTTGTGTGTGCATGTGTGTATTTTGTACAGTGCTGGCCAGAGAAATCCAACCTCATTAATAAAGTAGCGCGCGTTCGAGAGCACAGACCGGTCCAGTATGTTTACTACTAGGGCTGCATAGCGCCCGGTGCAATTTTATTCATAAGGTTGGATTTCTTTGGCCAGCACTGTAGTTAGAAGTAGGTCCTCTAAGGTCCTCTGTTTGTGCGCAATTGTGGTCACAGTGGCAGTAGTGGGTGAGGGGTAGACTCAGTTACTACGAAGATGGTGTATACATGATGGTGTATACAGTCATGTAGTTGAATGTTACTTCGGGCTTAGACCCAGAGGTTCTTGAAATGATGACCCCGGGTTTATGTACATGTATCATTCAGCTACCGTTGTCATAATGGCACTAGTTGATAGAACACCTGTATAAGTACAGGCTGTACATCTAGCATTTTCCAAAATAGCACTCCGTACTTCGAGGCTGCAGCCGTTTTGCATGCAACGTTGTATGTGTTGATCGGTTGACAGCATGTGACAAAGCCGAGGACATACTAGTGTATCAGGAGTACTGTTTTTTAACACAGTGCGTCCCCCGCCTTGTCATGTTAATTTATCAAACAAGGCTTACTACCTATACCAACATTATACATGTAGGGCTGTGCATGCTTTCAAAATTCTTCCTTGTTGAAGTAGAATACCGTGCTTGTGGGGGCTTTAGTAGTTCCTTTGCCAGATGTTCTATGCGTATCTCAATGACTTATCAGTTTCAGCACTTGGGCAAGGCACATTCGGGCCTACACATGTAGCCTTGAATTCTGGCTTGGAGGCATTATTTATCTATTTTCATGGCTGCTAGGTTCATCCTTAGTTAAGAGTTATTTCTCCGTGATTCGCTAATGAGTCCACAAAGGACGAAACAGCTAGACAGTACTAGTGCTGTCCCCAGATCGTGTATTCTAAATCCATAATACTGACGCTCAATCTCCAGACAGCTGTTTCAGCCTTTTTTAGGTCCCATCAGTGGAGCTCAGAGCGGGAGGTTAAACAAATGGCAATACGGTCTATATGAAATGAACAAAAAAAGCAATTTGAAAATGGCTCAAAGCATCAAAGTCAGCGAGCTATCTGCAAGACACGCACAAAGAGAGCTTTGCACGAAGGCAGATACATATTACATATACCTTTGACACTAACCAAAAAGAGTGCTCAATCAAGTCAACGCAAGGCAGCGTAATGCGGTGATCGAGTCTATAAAAAGCTATAGTGACATGTAGCCAGGCCCCCAGCACAATAAGCTGACTTGCATCATGCTAAAATCGTTCACACAAATCTCTTATAATAATTATTATATAGATTGCAGGATAGGGTGGTTGCACCAGGAAGTGCTGTCTCTGCGATAGTGGGACCAGCCAAGATTGCAGTACAGTCGTCCACCATCAATCCAGCACTTCATTGGCCCACGCCCTCGATACACCAGCATGATTTCCGGAGTTATTACCATTCATTGATACATGCCCCCCCCCCCCCCACCCCCCAGTTCTTCGGCACCTGACCCGAGTTCTATTTGGGCCGCACTACTTTGTAGCAGTCATACTATAGTACTAGAACTGGATGCACGTGATATCCACTGGAGCTGGCGCTGGCCACGAGCTGACCCACCGCCGTGCCTCCCAGTGTCAATTTTGCTTATGTGATCCTACCACAATCTGGAACATTATCAGTACTCGCCTCTGTTGACTTGCCAGCACTAGTTCTGGTGGATCCGGGCATGTTTCTGCCTTCTCTTAAGCATGTATTCTCCTGCAGGTGCATCTTTCACCTCCCTCTAATGCGCGAGCACATTTTCTGTGGAGATTCAACGACACATAGACCAGAAAATACAGAACGGAACAGTGGCTGCCAATGCGACACAAGTACCACATAGACCTAAAAACTCATAAGTACCCTGGGAGTTAGATGCATTTACGGGCAGTATGCCAGGATTTGCGCAGCTAATTTAAAATCAGATTAGCAATGCTGTGTGCTACCTAGGTGGCATCTTGGACTCAAAAACCAACCGATTGTGGTCCAACCCAACCGACAGCGTTGTCGGTGGGTTCCGATTGGCAGGTGTTGGATGGACGTATGATCCATGCGTCCCCACAAGCAATGAGAAGTTAACAATGCCACTAAGGATATAATATCGCGGACAGCAGTACAATGAAACTGGGCCATTCATTATCAGCAATATCAGGGGTATATCCAATCCGATAAGACGTACAGCTCGTGTATGGCAGACTTTACAGCAGGTCCCGACATAGCTTGCCCCGTGCCCTTTACCACTCCTGGGCCAACACTGTTGTACAATACTCGAGAGGGTCTAGCCTAGTGAGTGTGAATAGAACCTGGCAAACCATATCTCCAAGTGATTCACATGTTGGTATATTCTCCGTTATCATACATCAATTCCGAGCAATTTGACACCCGAATATTCTCGCACCACTACTGCTGAAGTATTGACCACAAACCATGTTCCATTTGACTTACAAAAGGAACTTGCAAAAGGCATGAGAGCACTGGAATCCGTAAAGACTCTCGCATTATTTATTAGCCACCATACATACCTTTCGGGAAGTCGTGTTGGAAGCAGCATGCTCGGAGAGCAGAGCTGAGTGAGATCTGCATACAGTAACACAGCGACAATGAACCACATGAACAGAAGGAAGCAGTCGTATCCGTACACATCTGAATATGCGCTTATGGGAGGAAAATCCGTGCGACAAAAGAGGACCGTGTTATGCAGGTGTATGTCTTACCCGGGTACGTACTAAGTGAGTTCCACCATACGTATATAATTTTATTGCAATTGAATCACTTGACTGACTGGAGCCAAAAATATCAATTGGCACTTACTCCGGTTACCCGAATGTTTCGGTACCACTATCATTAGGTTTTTTGCAATCGAACCAAGTCATAGTTGAGTCATTTTCAATGCGTTAGGTGTTACCTGACGTGCTCACTGCATCAGCCGCTATGTCAGATTCCACCAGGCATGCACCAAACCAGGCGCAATGCGCACACTGATGATGGTGGTTGGCACACAACGAGCAGTAGTAAAAGTGAAAGGACTTTTTGCATGTGATTTTGTTGTAATTTGTGCCAGTCGAATTGTCTCAGTGTAACTAGTTTATCGTTAGCTTACTAGTTTGTTTATACAAAAGAGAAAGACCAAGGAACTACAAGTTACGCTATACTGTCCACTAACACCACCAGTTACTAAACAATCAGCTCATGCGATAGCTATTGCACGACACTGAACAGCTCTAGCACATCTTGGATGCGCACTCCAACAGCCTTGTGGACGACGACCGTCACTGGAGAATCGGTCCGTCGCTCCACCAGCCCGGCGGCACAGTGGACAGTGCCTTGGGGGTGTCAGGCATGGATCAGGCTGATAAGGACGTGGTGGAGACGGAAATGATGTTTGCAAGGAAGAGTGATGATATGCGTACGTGCTCTCCGCCAGTTGTTGAAGCAACAGTCCGGCAGTGGAAAGTCGGCAAGGTTAAAATAAGTGACCAACTGGGTGAAAGTACACCAAATGTGGCCCATCTCTTGAATGGTGCGGACCACGGCAAGGACCTGAAGTTGAAGGTCGTCAATGGCAACACCGCATGGTCGACGTCAATGGGAACATCAAGCCATCAAGTTGGTGGAACTATGGAATGTCCGTCGCAGGCTGCAGCGACAGGGTAACGTGCTCAGGGAAGAGTACAGCGACGATGATCAGCTGTGTCTTGCACGCAGTCGTGTTGATCGTGGCGTGCAGAACAACAGAGTCAGTTGCGGTATTCGTACATTTGTCTGTTTAGGATTGTGATCCCCAGGAAGTCCTTTCGTGAGGAGTGATGTCACGCAACGAGCAGTAGTCAAAGTGAAAGGACTTCTTGCATGTGATTTTGTTGTAATTTTGTAAGGTGTGGTGGCAGAACTTTCAGCTGGTAGTGGGTGATGGGCTGTCTGTGTGACAACAATTACGGGCTTGACGAACGACATAATTATGGCGAGTCGATCTTTGGCCAGTTGCTGAGTTGGAGATCGTCACCGTAGACCCAGAGATCTGGTCCACGGTCCAGGGGTTGGGATCCCACTGTGGTGAGAGCTTGTGTGCCTGCTCATTGCGGCGTAAGGCGCGCTGACCAGGAGTGAGGATGGGGGCGTTTGACCGGCGGGTGGCATTGGCAGCGTCGCACTGGGATTGGCGGAATTGCTGGTCACGGTGGGCAGCTGAAGGTAAGTCTGGTGCGGCTGCCGTAATGCAGGGTATGCTGTCGCGGATGGGGCGACCAAACATGAGTGTTGCCGGTGCCTCGTGAGTGGCAGGGTGTGGCGTGGTGCGGTACGCTAGGAGCCATTGGTCAAATGCAACATTGATGTCTTCGCCAGCTAGTTTGGCAGTTCGCAGAACTTTGCCAATGGTACGGTTGAGGCACTCGACTGCTCCGTTTGCTTGTGGCCACAAAGGAGGGGTGTGGCGGTGCTGGATAGCGTGTTGCGCGAGGAAATCAGCAAAAGCCGAAGAACGGAACTGAGGACTGTTGTCCGAGACTAGCTCTTCGGGCAAGCCGAACATGGATAATGTAGAGCGCAGAGCTACAACACCGGCCGTAGTGGGTGTCGTGCTGAACACGTTGATTACCGGGTAGCGAGTCAACTGGTCGATAGTGGCAAGCAGGTGCTGACCGTTTGGCATGGGTCCATACAAATCGACGAAGACTCGTTGCCACGGCTTGGTGGACGGTGGTGTGGGCACGGACTCCCGGACGTAGCGGTGTCGTTGAGAGAGTTGCTTGGCACGGAATACATTGCCGGCAGAGTGCTTCGGCTTCAGTAGCCATGTTCGGCCACCCAACATTGCTGTTGAGCCGTTGCTTGGTGCGGACAATATCTTGGTGGCCCGCATGTGTAAGCTGCAGGGTAAGCCGTTGGAGGGCCGTGGGAATGACGAGACGGTCGTTGCGGAGTAGTAGACCGTCACTCTCAGACAGTTCATGGCGGAGGGCAAAGTACGGGCGGACCGTGGTGTGGCTGGAATCCCAGCGGCCAGATTGCAGAGAGGAAAGGATGGCTTGCAGTGTGGTGTCTGCGGTGGTGGCGTCCGCAATCTCCTTCAGAGCCAACGCATTTGGCTTAGCTGCTGTAGCTAGGGCATGTATGTACGAAGTGTCTTCCTGTGCGCCGATGTTTGGCAAGTCGGGATGAGGCTGCGGATTGCGACTGACGACGTCGGCCGGGTTTTCTGGGCCAGGCTTGTACTGGAGCTGGAAGCTGAGATCCTGCAGGCGGAGGACCATGCGCTCAATTCATGGTGGAGGTCTCGATCCGACGGCCTTGAGTTGCAGGAGCGGCTTGTGGTCGGTGACAACGGTGAACTGTGGATCACCTTGTCAAGTCGTGGTGAAAGCGAAGGCAGCCAAACTTGACACCCAATGCTTCCCGTTCAGTTTGAGAATATTGCTGCTCGACGCCGGAGAGTGCACGGCTGGCGAATGCTACAGGTGCATCGTGGCCGTTGTCTTGGCGTGGACACAGGATTGCGCCGAGGCCGGTGCGTCGACATACAGTGATGTGTTGCGGTCAAAGTATTGCAGCATGCAGTCTTCGGCGATGGCCTTCTTCAGTGCATGAAATGATTGCTGCTCAACATCAGTTCAACGCCAAACAGTACCTTTCTTAGTGAGAGCAGGGAGTGGCGTGGTGAGATCGGCCATGTTACGAATGTAACGGCGGAGGAAGTTGGTGAGACCCAGGAAACTCTGTATGTCGCTGACGCAAGATGGCGTAGAGAATGTAGCCACAGACTGCTGGTGGCTGGGAGAGGCGCGGATGCCCTTGTCGGAGTAGACGCTAGCCATGAACTTGAGCCGAGGCTTGAGGATGTGACATTTGTGACATTTGGCTCGGTTGAGTGTAACGTTGTGATCTTGGAGCCGCTGGAGGCAGGCGGCGAGTCGTCGGTTGTGCTCTTCGACGCTCTTACCAAAGTTGAAGATGTTGTCGTGGACGTTCTTCACACCGTCGAGGCCAGCGAGCCATGGCGTCCAGTGTGCGCTGTAGGATCTCGGATGCGGACGATACGCCCATGGGCAGACGTTTACAGTGCAAAACTGCGTAGCGACGTGACTCAGGGTGGCCTGGCTCTCCACAGCGGTAGCAGAGCGATGTGCTGGATTCCCGCCGGCCTGGAGCGCGAGTGGCGACTGGGGCAGGTGGCTGGTGGTACGAGTTTGCAGCTGGATGTGGCGAAGACTGCATCGGTCGACGCGACGGAGTTGAAACAGTAGCAGGAGGCGGCTGTGTCCTTTTGTAGAACGGTGGCTGATGACGGAGGGCATTGATCGAGTCTTGTGTGCGCCGGAACGCCGTCGTCTGTTCCACTGACGCTTCAAATGCTCTGGCGGCCTTGAGCGCCTTGGCGAGATCAAGGGACCCAGTCTCCAGCAGTTTTCTGCGGAGTGGATCGGACGTGCATCCTGCCACAATTTGATCACAGAGAGCCACGTTCTTCTGGGCATCGTCGGCGAAGCTGCAGGTCGTTGCCGATGCCAGCAAACGAGTATAAAACGTGTCTAATGTTTCGCCAGGCTGCTGGGTGACCTGCCGGAAGTGGAAGCGGGCCATGCTGGGGCTCTGCTTCGACTGAAAGTAGTCGGCGGCGGCGGTTACGAGGCCGTCGAGATCGTTGCCAGTGTTGGCTAACGTAGGGACGAGCTGCTGGATGTCCTTGCCGGCCACATACTGGAAAGTGTCTCTCTGGCGAGTGTCATCCGAGATGCCGGCTGCTGCGACATAGAGTTGGAAACACCGTTCCCAGGCAGGAAAATGGGCAGCAGCATCGTAGAGACTGCTGTAGATCGGGAATGGCTCCGGAGGCGGTAGTGACAGTAGGGACATGGCGAGGATCAGGCGTTTGCTCGCAGCGCCAATGTAATGTTGTTCTCTTGCTGTATTCCAAACAACAACTAACTCGGAGCTCCGGAAAGCTCCGCAATAGTGAGGTTTTGCATTCCGAATTTCGGCTTGGCGTTCTTTGGTAATTTGTCGAACATCAAAATGTCGAATTTTCGCACCGACGTTTGTTTTGCAAGTCGAAAATGATGTGTTTTGATTTCGTGAGCCCCAGCATCAGCAATGTCCTGTCCCGTGCTCCTTTTCTTGCTGATTCCGACAAACTTTGATCGCGCCCAAAGAGTCGAGGGCCAAACCTGCCTCCTCAGTCGCCTCAGAAAAACCAACTCCATGGCCAAGTCAAATTTTATGGGTATCGCCATAGTCTTTTCAGCCACACAGATGACGGTGAGGACACTCCAGGCGAAAGAGAGTAGACAGGCAGTGGAGAGGAGCAATCAGAGGTAGCTGACGATGCTGATGTCGTCAAAGACGCCTGCGAAGCCATGCCAAGATAAGAAACCTCTTTGAATAAATCACGCGCTAGCGCTCTTCCACAAGAAAATTCATCCGAAGAATATGTTCGGCAAAGTGAGCTTTTTCCGAACAAACATGCCGCATCTTCGTGTGCATTTTCGACCTCGCTCCCGCGTGCCGAATCTTTTGCCGAATTTTGGAATGCAAAATCTCACTAATATGATGCCAACAGAATGTAATGGTGTGCGTGCATGCGTACAGAGTCGGTGCGTACCGACTGTCAGCACAGGTGTGGAAAGCAGCATATGTAAATGGATAGGAGCACAAACGGTGCCGCGTGCATATATGTGTCGGTAGAGCATGAAACTCTTAATCTCAGGGTCGTGGGTTTGAGCCCCACGTTGGGCGCCAAATGTCGTCTCGGTTGGAGAACGAGCTGCCTCTACTATACCCTCGCCACGCCACACATCAAACGGACTAGTCAAGTGGTTTTTCTCTAGAGCTAGAGAGAGAGCTATTCATTACTACACTTCAGGAGACGACGGGCGAACTGACAACTGACATGGCGAAAGGAAACATGATATCGGAAAGTGGTGCCCTCATCAGCACAAAAAGTGGCGTACTCGATATCATATCAGCACAAAAAGGTGCACGTGTCAGCAATACAACAAAGCAGCGCAGCAGCATGTACGGGTCAGCATCACAGAAACACAAATACAGCAGCAGGTACGACAAAGAGACAACACGTGCAGCCACATGTACAACATATGGGTGTGACAGTCCATATATGTACGTGTGAACACTACACACGATGAGAACATGCAAAGTATGGAGACCCAGACTGTGTGGTCAGCAGGACACAGCCCGTACAGGATGGAACAGACAACTAAACGTAATATAGCACCACGTACCGGCGGACTAGTCGACGCTGATGGGAGAAGTGGCACCCCCTGAGGCAGCTACGGATGCTAGAACTCTACAGCCAGACCAACACCAATATAAAACAAAAAGGTACACCACACCAGGAAGCAAGTCAAATAAAGATGTGTGAACAACAGCCACACACCACAGAAAAGCATACAGAACAAAAACTCAATTACCGACACCATAGACACTGCAAAATCCAAACAGGAGGAAAATACTAACTCCCTGAGGACACTGAGCATGAGGCAAACGGGCAAGCAACCTCTTGCCGATGTTCCACCGTGTAACAACAACCGCGCTGGCCACCGGACTGTATGGTAGGGGTATTACACCTGGACCTCAAGACCAACGGGCGAAGGACAGCAGGCCGGGCCCAGGTAAATACAATGAGGAGCACTGTATACAACTACAGAAGTAACCCAAACCCATGCCAATTTGACCAACATACCTTCCCTGCGCATCCATTCCTAGTGTACAGGTCTGAAAGATGAAAGATGGAGCGCTTGTATACATGGGCCCGGAAAGCCTGCTTCGGCCGCTCGGCAGCAGCTTCGTAGTGGTGGTCAAGGGTCGAAGACCGACGGATACGGATCAACTCCCCAGTGAACACACCTTTGCCCATACTACAGGGGTGGTTACTACCGGCAAGCAGATACAGGAAACGATTGGTGAACTTGAAATGAGGCTTCACCGCCATGTATCCCTTACTACGGAAAACTGTGGTGTCCAGGAAATCAATGCCATCATGTGCCAGTTCATGAGAAAACTTGAGGGCCGAACACTTATTAATCCTATCTAAAGTGCGCTGAGCTTGACCTTCGCAACCATGCAATGATAAAGCGTCTATAAACCTGAACCTCTAAACCCTCCCCCTCTAAGATCGGCAAAACGTACTGCTTCTCCAAATACAGCATAACAATGTCGGCATAGACCACTGCTGCAGGCGAACCCATGGCAGTCCCTGGCCTTGGATCTGCCAAAACACATCGTTACCATACACGAACTCATTTTTCTTCCGAATGACTGACATCAAGGAAGTCACTGCTTGTAATAACCATGTACGAAGGGCGAGGGGCATCCACCTTGTACACCTGTGTGTGATATACCACGACAACCGAGCTCGTTGGGGATGTTGGTGTAGTAAAGGCTGGTCACATCTATGCTCAATTATAAATGATCGTCCCGCACAGGCAAACCTTCTACCAAGTTGATGAAATCCGCAGTTGAGGTCAGAACAGTACTTTCCTCACATACATACGGGTTCAGTAGAAAGTCAGTGAACTCAGCGGGATAGTAGCCAGGACTATTTAGATTAACAATAGGCCTAACCTTCAGGACCCAGGGCTTATGTGTTTTGAGAAGTCTCCTGAAAACGGGCATGCGCCCCCGGTGCGACTAAGAACAGTGACATAATATATTATATTAGTGGGCATACGATGCTCAATGCGATGCCTAGTCATGGTGAGTAAACAATTGACTCGGGTCGCTCACACGAAGTCTCAACACAGCCTTGAGCCTGTTGGTTGCCATCGGCAGTCTAGCCGCATGCTCATCTAGCCCCTCAGGCAAAAAAAAACAGTCATTTATAATGTTTGGCATTGTGATGCTGGGCACGACCTATATCATCATAGTGAGATCAGTCCAGGACTACTATCACAATAGACTGCCTTTGAATATGCCTGAGTCCGATTGCGTTCTAGCTCCCAAACTATGTGCTGCATGTGTACACTCCGCCTATGGTTAGTCTACTCCAGAACAACGCCTGGAGAGGTTCATTGGGGGCATGATGTCCCCCCACCCCATTCCCCCCTTGCCCCCTGCACCTGAAGTACCGGTATTGCCCCCCCCCCCCCTCCCCAAACAAATTACAGGACACAGATGGAGCACTGGGGAGCACGTAGCAGTAGGCAAAGTTGACGATGCCAGTGCAGACACGCCTGATCTCGGTCACCACACTGGCACCGTATAGTCTCCAAGGGACATAGCTACCAGAGAACACACAGAATGGGAGTATATAGTGCTATCCCTGTGGATAGACAACCTCCTATACACAAAATATCTACTGATAGAGTTCTGTGTAGATCCTATGTGCACATATGTGTGGATGAGTACTGGTAAACGGACAGCTAACCCTAGTCTAAGTAAAATAAAGGTAGAATGTAGACCCTGGGCAAAAAATAAGTAAATAAAAATATTGACTAGTTTGAGGGAAAGACACAAACGGGAAAAGTCTGAAGAAAAAATTGACTGGCACCAAAAAAATAATAATAGCTACACACACGAGGGAACTCGGATGGAGAGCCAAGGATTAAAATTGAAAAAGAGGACCATCAGTTTACGAGTTATCCGTTTTGTCCAACACTAACGGATATAAACGTGATGCAGCTAAGCATCAGGTCGTTGAATGTCATGATCTCATCAGTCAGTTTTTGTGCTAATTGTTGCACATTTTTGACTCAGCAGTATTCTGCATATAACCGTTAGTGTTGGACAAAACGGATAACTTGTAAACATGAGGGAACACTCATCCTTACCCAAGTCCCAACGTCAGCACTCGGCGCTGCTCCGAACCAAGAGGGACACTGGAGAGATCGTCCATCAGCTCCTCTCTTGTCCTGCGATCAAATCGCCTAATGCTAAACACAAGAAGATAGGAAAGGCAAGTAGAATAAATAAATCAATAACATATTAAACAACAAAACAAGTTTGAACAGCTGCAAACGTAATGGACGATTCGAACAAGACCAATGATATACCTAGCAATAAGTGTGCAGAGTGTGCAGCCCAAGGATAATCATCCCACGGCAAAGTGTATTGTTTAGGGCATAGACTCGCAGTAACAGGCTCACCTTTGCTGCATCTCACACCGCTTCACACGGTAATCTACTGTATCACCATGGTAATTTCTGTTGCACATTGCTGCTTGTTTAACAAAAGGCAGAAAACACACCGAATTTCCAGGAATTACCATGGTGATACGGTACTTTAGCTTGAACCTATTGTATGACGGGTTTTCTATGATTGATAATGACCCAGAGAGAAACTAAACCGGTATCGAATTCCAGTCAGCGACGCAATTCTTCTGAGGTGTAAAGTGACTTCAGGAATATGTTGCAGAAAACTGCGATGCATGCTGATTATTTACTGTGCCCTATTGTGCACAATATACCAGGTGTGTTACTCAGGGATGAAGTAGATGCACACACGTGCCGGGCATCACGGCACAGGTTAGGTTTGCTAGGCTACTAGCCGCTGCAGTGTACTTGTGGTCCGAACTTGCACTCTACTCAACTCTGCATACGCAAAGAGTGCTGGTGCCGAAATGAACCAGAAGGGTACTGAGTGGGACGCAACAACACTGACTCTGTCTACCCATGTACACAGATATGATAGGGTATGCAGTACCTGCTCTAAGATTTAACACAAACCGGGTACACGTCTACCTGGCACAATTCCTGCAACACTGGGCCAGAGCCAGATGCGTTCAAGTGCGGCTACTGTGTGTCAGGGAGTCGTAAACTTACTTTCGACTTCCTGATGTACATGATTGTACATGTACATGTATGAACGTACTCGCATTGGGCACTCTGGCCGCACGCATCTGCACGCGTATGCAGCCTGTCAGTGGCGGTATACCCTCGAACGGTATACAAAAGTATAGTACTCGACAGGACTTCCGACCGGGTCGCAGGTAACCCAGTGTTCTTTTTCCAAAAGGTCCAAGTACTCACAAACAGGGCCACTGACCCGGCTCTGGAGCAGACACTGGTAATCTAGGTCCAAGTTTGCTCGATTATGTTCTGACGCTTCATGTGCTTTCATAGCCAAGGTTTCTCACTTTCTTCGCAAGCTCTTTTAGTCTTGAGAGTTGACAACTGCTTATGGTTGTTGTTCACGAGGCTCTCCTTGACTATACAATAGATAGTGTGTCTGGACACGGACTATTGGATGCATTGTTCTGTGCATGTATGGTACTTTAGGTAACTGCAGGCTAGACGAGCCATACCGATTCTATGTGCATGCCCTACAGCATTATGGCGCTTTGCTGGTTTGTATTCATCCATTTTCACGGTACTTAGACATTTGAGGTAGACGTGTAGGCGCCTGTGATCGAATCCATGTGTTCAATGCATTCTAGGTTGCTAACATAACAAACCAGACCAGACACGGTATGGACTCATGATTGTATGTAGGTGTGAACAAGTTAGTTTCTGGCACACGGCTGTTTTTTTGCGCGATTTTGGCCCATTTAATATGGCGGCCGAGAACGCGTAAAAATTCATGATTTTCGTCCAGGAATTGCTTTAGACAGCTAAGTATTCCACAGACTTCGCCACTTTTCGTCTCCAATCAGCTTGGTTTGCCCTGAGTTTTCGATTTTTCGGCTTTGCCTTTCCTTGAGCTCCGCGTACATGCCGCGCGACCACTGCTTCGATTTGTTTCCTTGTCTCTGGAGGACGTTTGTTTTCCTCTCCTGGGACGTTCGTCGTGCAGAATTTGAGCCAACGTTTGTGCCCCAAATAGTATCCCCAGATTTGAGTATCGTTTAGATAATTTGGAATCGGGTAGGTAAGTGTCCGTTCTGGTGCTGTAGAAAATTTCGTTCCGTGACGTGCATCAATTCCGTGTGACTTGCGTTTGCAATATTCCCAAACTTTTGGTATTTCCCACACTTACTGGATCGTAACTGCAATTGTGTTACTCTCCAGTTGTTGTGAGGACGTAGAGTGATCATGGATGAGCATAAATCGCTACTGCAAGAAGTCTGCAGAGTCGGTGGCAGAAAGTTTTCCTGTTTCCAGGAGTCTACCAGATAGAGTGTGGAAAAATATAGTGGTCTGCTGAAATATGTACATGGCAATGATATCTCGAAAGATTGCTCAGACATCCACCCACCATACATCTGTATTCTGTGCGAGCGAGCCCTAAAGAGAGCCAGTAGATAGGCAGAACATTGTGGAGGTGGCTGTGGACCTGTCACCAAATGGGAGCCACACCATCGCACAAACTGCTCTGTGTGTGCAAGCCAGAAGAAAAGGGGCACAAGCGCGCACCATGCAAAACCGAACACAGCATTGCGAGGTGCCGCACTCCTGGCAGCACCCAGCCACCAGAGCGATGATGGATCACCTACACACTCAGCCACCAGCAGTGTAAGTGGTCTAGATATCAGTGCAGAATGCATACAATCAAGAGCAGCGCGACAACATCGTGCAACACTGCCGCTTGACAGGGACAGATTTTTAGACAGAAATGCGGTGCAAATTTGCATCATTTGTCAGAATACCGCAGACGGTATCCTGGAAACAGCATGCTGCAATGATCCGAGTTGTGCAGAGTGCATAAGCAAATGGCTCAGCACGAATAACACATGCGAGTCTTGCAGCGCTGACATGGCTGCATCATCGATGCGCACGCCCAGCATTAGTCTAACCAGGCTTGTCAGCAGCCAGTCCATACACTGCGACTTCCATGAGCCATCGCCACGTGGATGTCCTGAAGTCGTGCCGCTGCATGACTTGCAACGTCATGTCAACATGTGCCTGTTCAATCCCGCAGAGACGCCATCATGTAGCACAGCACGTAGCCCGCCGCCGAGCACGACACCTATCCGCTCTGTGCGCCCATCGTCAACAGTGGCTGAGGTTCTCAGTGCTTCTCCGTCGAAGTTGAAGGGCAATGTGGCAACCAACCTCACTGCACGTCTGGTCACGGCTAGGGCAGAGGGTGGCAGGCTGGAGGTGAAAACTGGCGAAGGAGGCAGGGGCAAACCGCAAGTTTACCAGCTAACACCAGAGTGCAGTGTACCGTCAACCGATGCGTCTGCCTCAACACTCAAACGCCGCGCTGCTGAGCTGACCCGAATTGCAGAGTCCGTTTGTGGTGGATCGGATGGAGCTCGAGTGCAAATGATTGCTGGGCTGAAGCGGCTCTCATCAGCTGCACAGGAGGAGCTCAGGCAGACCTCCGACTGCCATGGAGCCAATTGAGGAAGCTGCGGCAGTGGCTCAAGGTCTTCGGAGTAAAGTCGGAGTCTGAGCGTTCTATACGAGAGTTCATCACGAAAACGCTGCCCAGCTACACCGCTACAGAGCTGCCGATGTCGAAGCGGAATGGCGATGTCTCCATGGCTGCCACTGTATTTTATCCAGACCTTGTCGCTGTTGTCATGCACTTCCTCGACATCCTCAATGAGAGTGACAGGCACGATTGCCTGAAAGCTTGACATGGCATTCAGGCACGGCAGCAGTTACGAAGACCCAGCAACACACTTCGACTGTCGACGCCTTGAAGGACGAAGTCGCCAAGCTATGCCGCAGTAAGTACTTCAGTGGCCCATGCGTAGCCTCTGTGGAGCCTGTTCTCCAACACCACAAGATCGAACGTCAAGTGTACCACGGTGGTGCTTTCATCGGCAATCACGTCCACCAAGCCTTGAAGCCCACCGTGGTCACTGCCATCAGCCATGCTCACGTACCAGTCCTCACGTCCAGGTGTCCAGTCCTGGCGGAGGAGGCCCAAACAATAGCATCTTTACACGAGAATCTGATGAACAGCTACGCTTCTTGTCGAGCTATCTTCAGTCACAGCCAGGCAGTTTCAGCAGACGAGATGGATCAGCTGGAGTCTGAAGTTCGGCGTTTCTTGAGTATGTGCAGACGACACGTTGTGGCACGGCGACTTGGAAACATCACGCCGAAACTTCACCTGTTAGAGAATCATACGGTGCCGCTCATCAGGAAACTTGGCGTTGGTCTGGGCCTGCTCGCGGAGCAAGGGGCAGAGAGCTTGCACGCCAGTCTCAACACCCTCAACGCCATCTATAAAAAACATACCAGGAGACCTCGCCAGGCTGAAAGTTGTCGCCAAGCAGCATCTGCTAACAACCACCAAAGAAGCCAGTACGCTGGCTCCTCGTCCACAGAAGAGGAAAGCCGAGGACCAAGGTTCAGTCTCCTCGTAAACAGGTAAGAAGACAGCGTGGTGACAGCAATGTCTTCGTGTTCGTATTTCCAACGCTCCAAAGAAAAACATTTGGAGCACTAGATCATGCTCCTCTTTCAAATTTTCAAACGATCTTCAACTGTTTGCGTTTTTTGTGTCGAATCATACTGAAAACCAACTTGGTTTTGTTACTATTCACAATAATTTACCGATTCGCATCGAGTTTCCAAAACTCCTCTAAAACCCGGTGGAACGACGCCATATTGTAATCTGGTCCGCCGCGGACAGCCGTGGGCAATGTTGTGGTGTTTGGTTTCCGCCCAACATTGTCGATCTGCATGTTTGCACTAGCGTGCAGCTGAACCAACGCAGCCGAACCAACGTGCCTTGCAATGCTTTGCTAGGCTTTTCTTTCACTGTATCTTTTTGGTCACATATTATAATACCGTACACTTTGCTTTTACTCACAAAAATAGCACGTTTGCGTTTTGGTTATAACGAAGAACCCAGTGTGTAGTTACGATCCATCACAGTTTCAATGTTTATGGACTAGCGTGGTGTAGTCCTGCGGAACATTAATGGTAGCAGAGGATGGTTGATCGCGTTTCGTAGAAGTTGATTACAGAGAGAACTGTAGTCATGAGCACGTCCGATACCGAAAATCGGAGCACTGCAGGCATGGAGGATGCGGAGCAGGAGGTGGCATCGCAAGCGTCTGGTACGTCACTTTCGGATAGTGAACCAGAGGCGGTCGCCCTGGACTCAGGCAAACTCAGAGCGCTGAAAGTGCAAGTGAAGTCGGACTTCACCAACGCGAGAAGGACCCTGATCGTCGATCTCCGTCGGGTCAGTTCCGGTGAGTTGTCATTTGATCAGGTAGCAAGCTCACCCGTGTTGACTGAGTGTTACGAACGAGCTGCATCCGTAATTGCCGAGCTCGTTAGTGTTTACACCACGGAGGATAACAATAGTCAGGCAGAGAAGATGTTGAGAGAACTTGAGAAGTTGCAAGAAGAATATGCAGAGGCATCGGCCATGATTGTTGAGTATGGCAGAGGCGCAGTAGAAGACCCTGTCCCTAGATCTAGGAGGCTGTATGCAGCACCTCACGATAGTTCGCATGACGAAAGGTCAATTCAGTTTCAAGATAGTAGATACGACGCACGCACACGTGGGGCTAGCCCGTATTTACCGTTACAGAGACGATCGCTGAACTCGCGTCAGCTTTCGCAGAGCCTGAGTGATTTATCCATTCAGGGACCCCGAGATGCCGTGAACGTAGCTGCCGCCATTCACGAGGAGCACCACGCACCAGTTCAGGGATGGCCGCAAGCTAGTGATGAAAGGCGAACGCCAACCGGCCTGAGCGCGGATGGGGGAGATCAAACGAAAGAAATCCAAATCTCCTCAGAGCACGAACAGCAGTCTCAGAGAGAAGTCCCGCAGGTCACGCAGACAGCAGTGGCAGCTCCGCCACCCGCCACGAGTTCGTGTGTCGTACCGCCAACCTCGTCAGTTGCAGGACTCGTGGTGGCGCCGACCGCCTCAAGTGCAACATCCGCTACGAAGACGCAAGCTCCGCGCCAACCACGCGGTGCAGCAGAAGTCACAACACGTGCGACCGCGAGCACTTCGTATAGTGCACAATCTAGCAGTGCAAGTCGGCCTGCCGCGGGCAGGCAGCATCAGGCAAGTCAGGGCATCGCAGCCCACGCATCGCAGGCATCGAAAGTGAGGTCGACGCATTCACAGCCTGCCACTCGGCAGCACTTGACCAGTGCAAGTGCATTTTCTATGCCAAGGATCTACCCTACCCCTAGTGCGAATCCTGCATCTGCTAGTGCAAGCTACATATACAGCAGTAGTAGTTATGGTGCTAACAGCTACAGTGCCATGCCAAGTATGCAATTCAGTAGTCCCAAC